TGATTTTTAGCGTTGATATCTTCGGGGTTATAACCCTCGGAGCCGTACCAAAGAAAGGGCGACAACGCAGAGAAAATCATCACCACATACGTTTCCAGAGTCCCTAGTCATGCCTGAACCTGTACGACGGCTTTATGGTAGGCAATACATCCCTCAGATGCCATATTTAACTACATTTCCTTATGCTGCTGTGGAAGTACATTTGTAGCCACGCCCCCAAAATAACTCCCAGCAGCGAAGTGGATGTTTTCAGGTCATTTCCCGGTCTCATAGGCGTCTTTTGGATGCTGCTCTTTCAAAAATTCTTACTCTGCAGTGGTTGGGGTCTGGCCAATGGGAGTCTACAGGCTTGTGGTGCATGCCTAGGTGCGGGTTATTTGAAACCTTTGCCAAATTGGCCCATTGGAAAAAAAGTTATGACCCTAAAAGGAGGCGAGTATTATAGGCCCATTTTTCTAGCAGCAAATCAGATGCTAATTAATGTATAGAGCCAGCTTTTAAATATCAAAAACGTTTTAATGGTTAAGTCATGTTTAAAACATTTATTCCGGGAGCGGGTGGAATTTCAGGGTCAAGTCAGCATCTGAAATAGAAATGGTCGCAAATTTCTTTTTCCATATGGACCAAACAAGTTGCTTTTCCAAATTCATTTTTCCCAAGAGTTGTCAAGAGTCAGGTTTCCGAAGCAGTCATTCACCAGGTCTGTTGCAAGACAGATGTAGCGGCGTAAACTGTTATAGCGCCCTCTTTCGGGTAATTAGTGAAATGCACCGTTCGCTTCTTCCACTCGATGATCCGCTACGTACATGAACGATATCTTTCCTTTCATTAAGTAAACCCCCAGGAATGCAACAGTTGGTAAGACAAAGGAATTCTCCCACATTATGTGTCATAAAGGTTAATTTGGGAGGAATATGGGACGTTGTAACGCTAGTAAATTATGAAGGGCCGTTATTACTGGGTTCATGTATTACCCTACTGCTCGGATTTACATGTACATGTACTTATATCATAAGTCACGTGGTCATTTGGCATTTACACAGTAAGACAGTTTATGGGGGCACATAGTAAGGGTAAATTTATTCATAGGGATGTGTAGTCAACCGTTTCTTTATTTCATCATAATGGATTTGACTAAGGTTTATGTACATGTATTGCTACATAAGGTGTACTTCTATTTTCTCTATCCATTGTAGCGAACCGCTGACTTAGGACTTGGAATGGGCTGCCATCATTAAGGGTAGCGAATAAACATTTCAAGTTCAAGTTCTAGAGAGAGCTGTTTCCACGGGCCAAGTTTTTCATCAGTGTGTTCACACTTGCGTTTCTTGTGTAATTTAAGAGGTTACAACAGATTTTGCACAATATTGTTTCAGTGCACTGACCTTTCAGGGGGTTCGCTGGAAACAATTTTAAACTACACAATTGTGTACAGAGTAATTCGACAACTAGAATTACAAGCCATTACTGCGGTGGCACAACGCGCGTAGACAGGTGGTACGCGCGCGTTACATGCCTCTTCGACCAATAGGATGTCGTGATTTGCTAAAATGCACGCGCACGTCAAGCCGAAGACTCTGGTGTGAGTGCGGTGCCACAGCAGTTGCGGCATCTAACCAGATAAGTGTATAAACACAAAATTAGTCTGACGGTCATTACGTATGACGTTTCAACTTTGTGCGTAGGCCTACTCGACCCAACCGAACGTTTACCTTTTTCTAGCTTCAAGTTCACTTATTCGAGTTCCCTGTTTGAAGCTGGTGTTACAAAAACTTTTGGTAGTTTTGCTTGTTCTTTCCAAATCTTTGTATTGATGGTTTCGTTTCTAGAATCCAAACCGAACTGAAACTCATGGAAATTACCAAAAAGGATATTTAGATATATCTATGGCCTGTTGGTATCACACAATCCAGAGATCCGGCGTTGGTTCACTGATGAAACGAGAACCCACCTTTGGATGGAGCCAACCAGCCTTTGGATCACCGTTCGTGATCCAGATCCGTGCGAAACAGACAGGCCTATGGTTGTCACACTTCACCGATCACAGCAATGGCCCCACGATGTAGCCTTGAACCCACCAGTCGCTGTTCTAGCTCTACCTCTGTTGACATGGTTACCAATGACATCAGCCTGTTCAGTTTCCCTGTACGCAACGGAATGTCATTGGTATGAGAATAACAGATAAATGCGAGCAGCAGACCAACCGATTGCTGCTTCAATTTCATTTTTTCTGGCATCAGAGCTGCCTGCACAGATAGGGTTGAAGGGTTGGAGGGAATCAGAATATAGGAAAAACGAGCAACTTACGCAGTAACATCTGAAGAAATGGACAGAGCTGCAAAGTTAGTGCTGATCGTGTCTGCACTGACAGGTAGGGCTTTTATCGGTTCATGTTGGAAACTTAATGTATTTTCTCCCCATGTTGCAATGATTTTTTTCAAATAGGTATCGTCTGTATTCTTTTGGCATTTAGATTTCGGCAATAATATTCTTAAACATCAGTGTTTTGGTCATATCGACTGTTATCATTTGATTCCTTCATTTACTTCCATCCTGCCTCAAAAAATGTACGCTTCATCTTTCAATTAATTTGCTACTCTAATTGATTCCTCGGCTCATTTGTTTTAGCCCTGATGGCAAAAATCATTCCATCCTGCGACTTTTGTCTCTGCCAGAAAAAGACATCCGCAATGTCACTAACTCGTGCTTTTGGAGTTGCTCTTGCTAAACGCAAAATGTATACATTTGTATACATTTTGGAACAAACAAACAAACAAACAAACAAACAAAAAGCAAACATGCGGTTCAGTTGAAGTTCATAGCAGTAGATCAATGTAAGTTGGCTGATTTCAGTAATTAAAAAAAAACGTAATCTGAAACAGACTAGAAATGCCTCCAATATTTGAAGCACAAGACCAAATTTAGCCATATCTTCTCTCTCCGAAGTCTTCTTTATATCAATGGTCATTATTTGTCTTTGATTTCAAGTGTTCTTGAGTGGTGTGGAGGGCACGGCGAGGGTGTGTTACTTCGGTCCCCCACCGAAACCTGACCCTGATAACCCAGATCACTGGATGAAGCAAGTCATGCGGGAGATACGAGAGCGTTGCCCGGGAAAAAGGGGACGTAGCCCAGCTGGTAAGTCATCTGGATTCACACCCCATCCCGGCCCAAAAAATTAATAAGTAAGTGAATATGAGCAAATGAGCACCTTTTAACAAATATGATGTGAACAAATAAGCCTTTTACTTTTTAAATTTAAATAAAATCTGGTACACTGATTTACCTAATTGCACATAACATAAAAGTTTGAATTCCCCAGACCAAAGACACTGTTGTTGTACCTCGTAATTCGGGGCATGTTTTTGCATAGCGACCACCATCTCTGGGAATGGACTGGTTCCTTTGTGCCCTTATTATTCATTTAAAACAGCGTGTTGGTGCAAAGAGTCTGTCGCGTATATTTAGCAAACCTTTCGCAGTATAGCAGTAGTGTCTTCAGTGCGGAGAATTCAAATTGTCATGCTCATGTATCTGAACAACACAGCTAACCGGATTCCATCCAAATTAAACTGGCAAAGGGCTTATTATTGTCAGGCTCCTGTCTTAAATTTTATCCAATTTGAATCATGTCCAACTTTGACAGTTTCTGGATCCTCTGGATTCTGCCGATCATCACACTCATTCCCTTATGCTAAGACTCGTTATTATTCCCCGACTACGTCTTTGCAGGATGCAAAGCCGTCACTGGCACACAAGATATGTAACCACAGAAGTGACTTCTGTGGTTACATCGTTCCATATATAAACAGCAATTTTCCCTTAAAATGTTATAACAACCTCAGTGATAACATGTCCCATAAAGTGAGATTTAGTTTCCAAAACATTTAGCCTACTTAGAAAACAATACAAATTATTTTTCAGACAAACCTCACAGCATTGTGCACAGGGG